CAAATTTATAAAGTGAGAGAGTAATCTAGCTACAGTAGTAGATAGTTATGATAGGTTATATCCTTAAATTTAATTGAGATTTTGATCTTTGAAATAAAATTAAATAATACTATCGTCATTTAGTTGGGACTACAAATAAAGTTGATAAATGCTAAATAAAAAAGAAATTGTTCTAAATAGGATCAAAACATAGTTAAAATTCCACAATAGGAGTTAATGTTTTATTTTACCTTAATAGGACTAAACATTACCATTATGCCCTTAGTATAATAAAAGACCCAATTCATCACCGCCTATGGAAATCTGATTATCTGAAGACTAGCGATAGATATCTCTCCCGTACGAGTTCTTCGCTACTATCATCCACCATCTTCGATCGCTTCTCACGCGCCGCCTCGCCTCTCTGGCCAGCCCCGCCGCCTCGCCACTCCGGCCAGCCCCGCCGCCTCGCCTCTCCAGCCCCACCACCTCGCCTAGCTATATGGATTTCCATTGCTGCCGCCTCTCTTCTCCGATTTCTCATCGCCTTTCTTTGTCAATTTCTTATCGCCTCTCTTCATCGATTTTCCATATCAGGTAATTGATTCATCTTCTTCTCCCTTCTCTGTTCTCTCTTCTCCCTTCTTCTATTCTTCCCAATCATCTTCTTCTAGATTTTCTCTACTCTAGGATTTTCAATTTTTTTGTTTTGTATTAAAAATCAAAATACTATTGTGGATCTGAAAATTTTGGTTGAAAAGCGATGTTTAGATGAAGCACCAATGATCGGCAAATTTTAGACCTGATATTTTATGAATTTTTAAATCTGATCAATTTTTGTTTAAGAGAATGCCAAAAATGTTGTACAAAATGCCACTTTCATGACAATACTTTATGTCAAGATGGCAATTTTAATTTGAAAGTACAATCATTAAAATGACATGTTTTTGAACTTTTTTGCCAAATTATATTACATTATATCAAGATGGCAATTTTAAATTGAAAGTACAATAATTAGAATGACATGTTTTTGAACTTTTTGCCAAAATATGTCATTTTTATAACAGTGAATGTATAAAGAATTAAAGATTGCCAAAATATGTCATTTTTATAGCACTGAATGTATAAAGATGGCAATTTTATTTCTGATTTTTCATTTTTATTTATTCTCAAATTTATATTTTCAATTTTAATATGATATTGACATAATTTCTAACAAAAATGCCAGAATATTTGACCTAAAATTGCATTTACTTTCATCTTAGAAGTACATGTTTTCATAAATGAAAAATATTCCTACATAAAAATGTCATTAATATGTCATTATACTTATCGATATGACATTCTCCCTGGAGATCAACAAGGGACCATCCAGAGGGTGGTGGCTACTCCAGCAGCTCTGGCGGTTCCGGCGGTTCGTCGGAGGATGGTGTCGGCTCGTCGGAGGAAAGTGGCGTCAAATTCACTGAAGATTGATGTAGGAGCTTGGTGGTGGTTGGTGAAGGCAGCGTGTAGTTTGATGTAGTGCGTTAGTTCCTGGCCTGGAACTTCATTAAGGGCAATTTTGTCTGATCAGTAATTAAGAGTCCTATTTAGGGAAATAATAAACTTAATGTCCTATTTATGCAAATCTACTAAGTTTTAGTCCCATTTGGGAAATTCTCTCTAAATAAAAGTATAAAACTCTACAGTAATTCAAAACAGAACATCCAGATTGAACTCGATAACTTTCCGATATCTCAGCCCTGATCCAATTTGAACAGGCCGGCCTAGCCCCAACCATACATTGTTTTACGACGTAGGATGTTTTCTTTTGGACTGTTTTCAGTCCCAGACCAGACCAGACTTAAACAGACTAGACTAGACCAGACCAGACTTAAACAGACCAGACCAGACCAAACTTAAATAGACCAGACCAGACCAGACTTCGGTAGTTATAAAATACATAGAGACCAAGTCACCAAACGTTTACCAGACCAGACCAGACCAGTTCAGACCAGACCAGACTAGACCAGACTTAAACAGACCAGACCAGACCAGACTTAAACAGACCAGACCAGACCAGACCAGCAAATTTCAGTCCAAAAGAAAACATCCGTAGTACTATCTATATGTTTTTATTAATTACCAGTCCCTATTAATACAATTACCTCCATACCCCTCCAAAAAACTCTAAGACTCTTAAATAAGTAGTATACATACATACATACATACAGACACACGCACACACAACGCACACGCACGCGCGCGCGCACACACACATTATAAGATCAAGAAGAGTATATTTGTGAATAAAAATGGACAAAAAATGGAATATATAGTAACTACCCTTACAAAAACTACAACGATATTGACAGAGAATTAATCGAGTTTGGCACAACTTACTTTTTTTATTGATTTGATAAGAAGAGTAAAAATGGAAAATCTTTGAATTGCATTAGAACACGACTACACGAGTTAAAATGGAAAGAAAAGGCATGATGGCTGATGAAAGAAAAAACAAATTGTCATGTTTCACAAAGTAAGACTAGTCAACTCTGTAGTCTGTATGTGATCATAATTATAACTTTAAAATACACAAATGGAAAGTGGGTACTAATATTCCAAATGAAAAGTTGTTGTCCGTGATGAGAGAGAATTGTTTTACTTTTCTCCAATCATTTTTTATTGCTGAACAAAGATGACATGATTTTAATTCATGCAATGACATATTTGAAAGTGAATGCAGAGGCAAATTGTAATAACAATTATTGTAGCAGTTGAAAGAGATGTGTAGTTGAATGTAGGAATTTAGTACCTTAGCTTGGCAAAATAAAAGACTTGCACCTTTACCAAACATTCATTTTTTAGTGAAGGGGCTCATAAATTAGCCAAGAGAAGCTCAAGTTCAAAATTGCAATTGTGTTTCAAGATTGAGCAAATGCAGCCTGTCTTTTAAGTGCAGTATATTAATATTGATATGTAGCTACATTCCAAAATGCTTTGAATAATAATTTTTAGCCTATTAGCCCAAATGATAGAGCGATGTGTTCATAAATACATAAATGTGGGTTCAAGTCCAACATAAGCTACACAAAATTACTTTGGATCTTGAGACAGACAAATTGTAAAACATGTGTACATGCGATTGCATCAAAATAAAAATTAAACATGTAGCTAACACTAACACCGTGCATTTCTTGGCAGGCTGCATTTTAAAACATGTCACTCTTCATACTTATGAAAATGAACCTTTGAAAAGAATTCCTTTCAAACTGAAAATGAAAAAATGTAGAGAATGCATAAATGCAAACTGAAAGTACAACGGGTCTATTTTTGTGCAGCCTATGTGGGATTGGACCCACATTCATGATTTATGTGTTTATGAACACATCGATCACTTTATCATTTGAGCTAATAGGTTGAAAATTGTTAAAAATTGTCTTTGTTTTCACTTTCACAGATGTCATTATAGGAATCAATTTAGCTACCTAAAATGAAACACTTGAATGTGATCTTTGTTCACTAATGAAAAACTATAGAAGAAAAGCGAAATGAGATATAGGATTTTACTTCTTCCCCATTAGGGTCAACTTCTTTTGGGATGTTTGTTACTCAATTTCAATTTTTGAAATTCAAGTGGGCAATTGCTATGACATTCAAACTTTACCAGCCTTAGTTTATGAATCTTGATAATTTCAGATTGAAAATTGAGAAACCAAAAAGAGATGCACTCACCCATTTGAAAATGAAAAAATAGATTTGAATTCAAACATAACCAAGAGATCATTGGAACTTTGGAAAGTCTTTGTACTACCTCCATTCCGCTTAAAGGTTCCCAATGCAAAATGAGACAATTATTTAGACAACAATTAAATAAGGTAATTCGAGTTTATTTTGAGAAACAATTTTGAAAAATATATAGTATAATGGGTCATTGATGATAACTATGATGTTATAGATGTATTATTTTTAATAGTTTAATGATTAAATAATTATTTAAGATTGTTAATTGTTTCCTAAAATAGAAATGAAAACCTTTTTATGGGACGTCCAAAAAAAGAAAAGTGAGAACCTTAGAATAAGATAGAGGGAGTACTATTTAAAGTTAGCTTTGTCATATCAAAGATCCAATACACACATTTTGAAATGAAATTCAAAATATAAAAAAAAATCTCATCAAACATAATCAGTAAATCGTCATATTGAGAATTAGCTTTCTCACATCATCATTTGAGACAAAAATTTTGAGACAAAAACCAAAGGTACTATTCATCTTTGCCTTTTGAATTTAAAACTTAATATTAAATGACGTCTTTTACCAATAGGAGTATGATGCTCACCGTGGGCTTCTTTAATTTCACAGTATAGCAACTCAGATGAACATGGATTGACGATGAAAGATAAAGAAGGGAGTGAATAATGGGTGATGATATATTGTACGGAGTAGAAGAACGGTTGGGATAAATTTGTATTGCTATTAAGGGTATGTTTGGGAGTTTGGAGGGATTGGGAGGGGAAGACTTTGAAGGTATGCTGTTGGAGGGGAAATGGAGTGGTAGGTGAGGAAACCCTCTTCGTATTTGGGAGTAATAAATTTAGAAGAAGAAAGTCTGTGAAGAAATTATAAGTAAAATCACTTTGAGATATGACAAATTCAAATAATTTAATTGATATTCATTTTAAATTCAGCTTGAATTATCATTTCATTAATTACATTTCAAAATCCTTCAAATTGGGGGAACTTAAAAAATCAACATTTAAAGGGTTTTGGAGGGTTACAAAAGCCCTCCAAAACCACCCCTCCAATTTTTTAAACTCCCAACATGAAAAGGAGGGTCATAAACCCCCATAAACCTTTTCCTCTCCTCCAAAGCCTAACTCCCAAACACACACTAAGTATTAGGGATTAGATTGTTTTTTTAGTGGAGGGATTAGAGATTGTTAAAAAAACAGAACATTGGTGTATTAAAATATCATGCAAAATCCAGTAATATTTGAACCCAATATATAAAACTACAATTTCAAACGCTAATAGTTAATGGGCTAAATGTAAAACATAGAAAAGAACAAACAAATTATACAATTTATTAAAGATGTAGAACTAGCAAATTAAAGGGCTATTTAAATCTATTCAAAATAAAGAACTACTACCCAAAAGCATAGTTACTTCTTTAATCAAGTGCAACAAGCCTATACGTTTACTGAAGAAATGAATGAAAATTCAATATGAACTTTTTTCTAACAGTTGGTGAGCCTCCATATATACGAAGTATGAGATAATTTAAAGAAGAAGAGTAGATCTATCTTCCAAAGAAAGAGATGATGATGCTCTTCATCAAATTATTATTCCCTGTGATGTTTTCAGAATTCAAACGTGTTAAATTTGAATAGAAATTGATTATTATCGTACTAAAATAAAATAAAAATATAAAGTAATAAATAAAAATAACAAAGAAGTAGGAGAGAAGACTTGCACGAATGGATTGGAGGGGGGGGGGGGGTCAAAGTATGTAATTGAGTGTGTAAGAATTGGGCTCAAATTCGCAAATGGTTACAGTTTTGCCTAGTTGTACCATACACATGATACAATCGCGTTTACCATATAATATGCGGCATGTACACTACTAGTCTACCACCTATAGTAACTACTGGCACTGGCAGCCGCAGGTCGCAGACATCCGGAAAAAATCATCAGAAGTTTTTCATTGTTTACATATATTAAAATATACTCCGTACTACATTAAGAAGAATTTCAGGTTTCTTGACTATTTAAGCATATTAAATAACATGTTTCGATTTATAGATTTTTTCTAGAATAACTTTTTTGTTTAAAAGTTTTGGAATTTTACTTCTTTCATATTTTTTTAAAGGGTGTTTTATTTTGAAATTTTAGTTTATGAACATTAGTTATATTTCATCGAAACTTTATATTTTCTCCAAATGCTCTTGATTTTAATTTCCGAAATGGTCAAAATGTCTGCTCTGCTAAGTAATAAAATATTTACATTAAAATTATGGATCTCCTTGCAGCAAGTTTGGGAATATTCTAGTAACTTCGTTATAGAAAGTCGGTGTAATTCTAGCAAAATTGGTGTAATTCTAGCAAAAAGTTTAAATCCGGATATTTTTTTGAATTGTGAGGCAAAATTTGAAGAGTTGTTAATGAAAAAACTATAAAAAAAACTATTAAAAACATTAAGCTATAAAAATTTGATAAATGCTCTCTAACATTTATCACACTGCTTTTGGTGATTTGACTATCATGACACGAAAGAAAACATTAAGCTTTAAATACACGAAACTTCTATAATTATCAAAATATTTTCTATGTTTACAGATACATCAAATACTTTAAAAAATGAATTATACATTTATGTGTGTCCTGTTTCCAACAGTCAATCGATGAATATATATTCGATAGAGAAGAGAAGAAACCTTGTATTGAATATGAAATGATGTTTGTTATTATGACACATTATTCAAATATAGGTGCAACTCTCTCTTCCCTCTATTGTATGTGTGCGTGAATGCCTAGAGAATGTTTAGATATCTACAATGCTTAGGGTTTTGAGCCTATCCTCTAGACTTTATATGTCTGGGGTTCAAGCCCATTACATAATAAGCCTATGAAAGAGATACATGGGCCCTAACATAAAGTTGCTCATTGTCTATTCTCATACAATATGTGCATGACTTTGTACTATATAAAATACATGAATCCAAGTTCAAGAAGTGCATTAATGTATCAAGCCGTAATAAGCCATAACAGAAACGTGGTACACTAATTTTACATTTTATCAAGTCGATATATTACATTTCAACAGGTTATATTTCTTTATAGATAATCAAAAGCTAGACGGTCGGTGATTTGACACTCAATCTCAAGATTTCATCAAAAGCATACTGAATGAATGATTTTATCTTGTCCCCATCTATGAAGTCTTTCTCAACGGCAATGGTGAGTCTAAGATTTCCCATGTAGCTCACCATTGTTACTAATAAACTCTGCAATTAATTAAGTTAATCAAATATTAGTCGTATCTCAGTCGTAGCTTTCTCATCAAACACATATTGGGATATATTTTCCTTGCATGCTTAAGTAGATATTGGCCATGCCAACTTCAATTGGGAGAATTAGATCATTTCAGTGGTTCAAATGTCTTGCTCGTCAATATTTTTTTATTAACAATTAGTTTTGATCTTTGATCATCATATATATACACTACAATTTTACTTGTGCAAATTTTACACTTATCTAACAAAAAAGATTACTTCATTATAAAAATGGAGTCACTTCAATAAAGTTCAATCCTTTTGCATGATATAATAGCTATGATGAATACTTGATGCTAAATATTTAAAATTATGAGTAGTTAGATTCATAATTGGCCAAAATTGAAGTGCATCTTACTTCAATGATACTCTTTTTGCTGACCACATACGCCAAGGGAGATTTGATATGTGAGGATGCTTTTAAAAAGAATGACTCAAATGTACTTTTAGAGTTTTAGTGAACAAAAGCAGTGGCTGATTTAGAGCTTAGGTATTCAATGTTTTTACAATTAAAAATTTACAGAAGAATGGATATTAAATTTACACTATATACTTGCATGTTTTTTGTAATTGTGGGTGTTCAAGTGAACAGTTTTGAACTATACAAGCTCCGCCACTGGACAAAAGTATGATCTTTTTATGTTAGGACAAAAAAGTGATTAGAAAAATGGAAAGACCCAGCACCCATGCGCCCCTGCGTTTGTCTTCACGATCATCTTCATGCCTTCACGCATGAGTTCGTGGTGGTAAGTGAGGTGGACCAGATAATGGAGGGATTGGGGTTGGGGATTGGAGGCTGAGAGGGTAGGCTGGGGCTGGCGACGATGGTGGTAAGCGTGGTAGGTCAGATGGCAGTGACCGGAATGTTGTGGCGGCCACCGAAGTTTAGTGTAGTGTGACAGCGGCGGAAGATGGTCAAAGGGGTAGGGAGATATTGGTATGCTTCTTAAATGACACTGTTAGGCAAACATAGTCGGGGAGGGGGACTACTGCGATGTCCTTGGAAAAGTCACCGGAAAAAGTTAATGGAATTTTTTTCGGCGGTTAGTGACATCCGTAAGTGACATGAAAATGTGGCAGTGACATCAAAAAAATTCCAGTGACAAAAGTTTTTTTGTGACATTATACTTTTTCAAATATATGACCTTATTAATCTCATTTTTTGGCAATATTTAAAACTAGTCACATTTTTAGAAATTTACTTCAGTTTAGTACTCAATGTTTAGGGGAAAACTCCATGTTTTTACTTGGACTAGTTTCAAACCTAGACTGGTTCAAATCGGACCAGATCAGACTTAAACTGACCAGAACAGAGCAGAATAGACCAGACCAGAGATGATTAATCCAATTAAAAATATTCATAGTCCAGTAACTTTCAATTGTGTCCGTTATTAGTCTTGTAACTTTACTTACTTGCAGATTTGTACTCATAACTAATAAATTTACCCATTTTAGGGACTTTCTCCAAAGAGTACAATTTTTGACGGAAAATCTAACATCGATGACGACTTTTCTAGCATGATTTTTTTCACAAGTTGTACTTTTCGATGGAAAAAGTCTTTAACATAGATAAATTTATTAATTACCGGATCAAATATGTAAGTGGGTAAAATGATAGAACTAAAAGTTGACACAAGCAGGGCGAATGTACATGTTGTTCAATGGGGGCACAAGCCCCCAACAAAACACTCCCAATCTCACATCACTAAGTTGATCGTCCAAAAGCAACTAATGAAATAAGGAATTTTCATTTTTTATTGGGCTGACGATAGTCTTCCTCATTGTTGGCATTTTATTTTTGCATTTTTATAAAACTATGACTAAAATTACTATGAGCGTTTTACCTGGAGGATATGTTCTCTAGATTTTTTCCGGAGCATATTTCACCAAACGCACAATTTTTTATTTCTCGCTCTGAATTGTGTAATAATACAAGAAAGTAGGGTTGAAGTTACTTTCCTGGCTGTATCGACTGAAGTTATTGTAGATGAACATTTTAGCTATTTTTACATATAATTTTTATTTAATTTATTAATAAAATATATTTTAAATATTTTTTCCTCATAAATCTGCAGAATCAACTACTTCAATCAAAGTTTCATAAATTTCATCTAAATTAGCCGATTCAGCTGATTTTGATATTACCAAACGGGTGCTGAGTGTGTTTGGGAAAAATATCTTCATTAGGAAAATATGTTTACAAGTACCCTTATTTGCGAAATAAGATTCAACTGTATCTGATATTATTATTAAAAATCTTGTTACTACGAGTATAACATCATGGTTACATGTGCGTAAAAAATACATATATATTATTATGATAAAGTTATATATTTTAAATATTAAGCTCAAATATAAATAAATAAATAATTATATATCTATATATATATATATATAATTTGGATCAAATAAAAACATTTTGATCATGTAAAATAAAAATTAATCGCAGTTGTCCAAAATGTCAATATGATGAAAAATAAATCTTATTTGTTGCACTTATCTAATAAACTTTATCTATTTTATTGTGCATCAAATTGACTTTTTGTACGATTCAGATATCTTCTCATTTGAACTCAACCATGTGTGTGTGTCTTTATTTAACAAATAATTACACACACATAGTTAAAAAAGTACTTTACAAAAATGTGACCTCTTGAAGGTACATAATCAATACACTTAGGGGTCACATTTTTGTAAGTTCCTTTTACTTACTCATAAATACGGAGTATGCAATTGTTTAAATAAATGCATGTGTGTGTATCTATATTTGAGCTTAATATTTAAAATATAAAAGGTTTAACTATGAAATTGATTTTAAAGTTAATATATATTGGAAAAATATTTGGACTAAACCTATTAAATGATGCATGCCCCCGATAACATTTTTTCCTAGATCCACCACTGGACACAAGTAAAAGTTACTAGCCTAAATCGATTATTTTTTCACGCGTCCATGTATGTACGCACACACTCGCACACACGCATGCTCGCACGCACACACATATATTGATATATGCATTATCCATTGGATAGTACCTAAATCTAAAATACTTCATATGTTATGAAATATAATGAATTAGTCATGTTCTAAGTATTCATGATTAATAAGTCATTATAAAGATCACAATTATGATTTCTAATGATAATGATTATGTGGCTAATATTAATTATCTAATCTTAAGTTAATAACTTGTTTAGCATATAAATAGAAATTGTTTACTTCATTGTAACACACCCTTAATAGCAATTCTATCAAGAGTATACTTAATATATAATATATACTCCTGATTTTCAGTTAATGTTTCCTTCCATTTCATAACAATATGTTTTGTTTTGTTGCAAATTGTACGTATTACTGTATTATATAATTAATGCACCGTATTTGACTATTTTTATTTATGTATATAAATCCGTTAACTAAATTTTTAAATTTTTTGTCAAACATATATTTTCTACAATATAACTACTTCTTTTAATTGGTCAGAACATAATAACTTTTGCACTATTTACATATTTTACCTTCACTATATTCTATTTGTTAATGTATGAAGAATCACATTATGAAAATAATATAAATTTATTTCACTTTAAACATTAAAAAAACTAAATTTTTAGTCATAGCTAATTAAATATATTTAAATATTATCTTTCTGTAAATTTAAATTAATGATATACAAATAAATATATTATTAGTCAAAGATGCATATTGATAAATATGTTGGTATAATTAAAATGAAGGTTAGTAATTAGTACGTATGAGTAACATTCATTGGTGTTATTACTCCTTCAAAAAAGTATATGCCACGTAGATACCTGTGGAGAGCCCGCCACAAAAAAGTATATGCCTTTGATGGGATGATTAATCACAGATGCTTCTTCGAGTGGGCCTATCATGTTTGTCATCGTAATGCTTGTGTTCCTCATCATTCCATGTATATACCCTGCTGCTGCCTGCATTACATTCGATTTATTGTATAAAAAATTGCTCACATAAGACAAAAAGAAGATTTTCCCATATCGTGAACCTATATTTCATTCCTAATCAATAATAGCTTCTCTAATCCATATTTCAGTATGTCTAATTATTTCACCATTATTTACAATTGGATATTTATTTACAAAAAACACGGACTAGATTTCATCAGTCAATTCCTTTCAAGTTTAACTCAAAGTGGTGATAGATTTGATAGTACGTGGTAATAATCCAGGTTCCCGACATCGTTTGTACACAGGGCAGTTCTTGGAAGAGAAATTATCCTAAATAGGACTAAAAGCAATTCTCTATTCCAAAAATAGGACTGCCATGTTTTTATTCCCAAAATAGGACTAATTACTGTCATATTTTGGCAGTACCAAACTTTAAAGATGACAGTATTTTCCAAACTTGACAGTAATTACTTCTATTTTGGGAATAAAAACATGATAGTCCTATTTTGGAATTTTCAAACTTATTTAGTCCTATTTCGAGAACTTTCCCTTCTTGGAATTGTAATCCTAGAAGGGTGTTGCTAGGCGCACCTTCATTCCTACTTTACGTAACCCTTGATAGACTATTATGTCCTTTTCGATTCTTTTACTCCGTATTAAATTTGTTCCTTAACAATATAGCTTCACACGTGATCACAAAGACACAAACCCCTATTAAATTTTAAAATTTACTCTACAATCAATAAACTTTTTATAAGTTTTACATTTATGATGACTCGGTCTTTATAAAAATAAATATCACTAAAAATAATATTTTTAAATTATATCTAAAAAGTCTAAGAAAGTTCTAAATTTGGTGTAGTCTCACTTGTTTAGTAAGGATGTTTCATCTTGAACAAAAATTTATTGGTCTGATCTGATTTAGATTAGTAAATGTATGACCTTTGTGTATAGAGTATAGAGTATAGTCCGATATGACACTAGATCGAGTTGAAGTGAAAATACCCATTACACTATTAATTTAATCATGTTAAAAATTTACTTTTTTTTGTAATTAATATTAAAAAACTTTAGACAAGTAAAGATATACTATCATATCAATCTAACATTCTAAAATATAGGATATATAGAGAAATTCATTTATTATGAATTAAAATTTTCTGGTCCAGTCAATGATATGAATAAAACGTAAAATAGTTGAATGTATTGCTTTTTAAATTATAAAATGGTAGAATTTATTAATAAAACGTTAGGATTTCAAATGTGTTAATAAAATGTATCAATACACTCAACTATTTTCTTAATTGTCAACTCAACTTTTTAAATAGTTGAGTCATTGAGTCAATTGCTTTTTAGATTGGTACTACGTAATTAATAAAACGTTAACATTTAACTTTCTTTTTTTTTGAAGAAAAACGTTAACATTTAACTTAAGCATTACGGTTAGTGCAGTGCGTGAGTTTCGTGAGCAAGAAGGATAAATCGGTCCAATAATTGGAAAAAAGAGGTGCGCATAGTAACATTGAAGGTGCACCAAGAAGGTTCGTCCTAGAATTGTAAACAAATTCCGGTTCTTAAGAAGATACAAACAAAAATATAATAACTTCAATTTGACGATCCTAATATGCGGAGAGATATGAGAAAAAAACCTAGGCGGCAGATGGCGGTTCTGAATTTTTTTTCTTCCGCTAAGCTATTGTTAAAGGAGTCCAGTCGTTGCAGTCCACAGCTTGGCGGCAAGTGGCAACCTCTCTTCTTTTCTTTCAGTTTTTTGGAGTTTTCGGTTTCCTTTGCAGGTTTGTTTTTGTCCGGCTAAGGTAGTGTTTCCTTTGGCCGAGAGTTGTTACGTTCCATGTGAACGTCTTCTTTTGGTTTGTTTGAGACTTTGTTTTTGTCTTGTTCGGTGTTTATGTGCCACTTATCTAGTTATGATATGGAAAAAATCACTAATGTTTATCACTTATGTGAACGTCTTCTTCTGGTTTGTTTCAGACTTTAAAAACAGATGCATCTTGCTGGTATGAGTAGTATTATTGATCTCTTTAAATTAATCTCAAGTATTACATGGCCCTTGTTCCTTTGAACCAAATGTAGCGGTCATCTAGCGACTTAAAGCAACTAACAGGCCTTGGGAGGTGGAGCTGAATCATTCTGAATTTGGGGTTTAGGTCTACAATCTACCTCTAAATTTTATGACAGAGAAAGTGGCGAAAGGTATTGGGGATTATATAGGACGACTGGTATAGATTGATGAAAGGATGTTAAGACATGAGGTTCCATCCTAAAAGGTCAACCTGTTAGGAGGAGTAGCCCGAAGCTTAATATAGCACTCTAGTGCTTCTCAATTTTCCGGTGTGGGACATTTAACACCCCTCCTCACGACCAGACACTTCGTCTGGATCGTGTCGTCATTCATTTTTCATCGGTTCATCAATTTTTTTTTATCGTGTCATCATTTTTCATAAGGGGCCCCACACCATGAATCGATTTGGCTCTGATACCATGTTAAGACATGAGGTTCCATCCTAAAAGGTCAACCTGTTAGGAGGAGTAGCCCGAAGCTTAATATAGCACTCTAGTGTTTCTCAATTTTCCGGTATGGGACATTTAACAAAGGACATTAGGGGGAGCATGTAAAAGTATATTCGCTTCAGTCATTAACATCAAGAGTGCTCTAAAGAGAAGGTCACGAATAAGGAAAGAGGGTAACAATTGCTTCTGGGCAAAGTTCTAGTATGAGAGGCTTCTCAATTTTTGTTATATATGTGGGGTGCTAAGACATGCTATCAATTTTTTCCCATCAAACTCCTACTTGAGACCTTGGATTAGCGAGAAGCCATATGGTCCTTGGATGTGAGTCGATATGCGTCGTGGAGGGGAACATCCTAAAACAAATGATTTGTTTGGAGTGGGGAAGAGGACTCATGATTCACAATGAAGAGGATGATAGTTGGAAGCAATTGATTGAGAAACCAACAACAGAAGAAGAAACAAGGATTGACTTCAAGAGGGAAGGCGATACCAAGTGAATTGGAGGAGCGAAAATAGGATAGAGCTTTGGAGGAAAGAGAATTTAAGGAGAGGAGGGCGTTGGTTTTAAATGAAATGGTGGAGGTTCAGGCAAACATGGAGATAGAAGACGATAACCCAAAAAAATGAGAAGGAGGTGGTGTTCTCAAATCACCATCACTTGAAGTTCTGATAGGGCATAAGGCAAAGTGTATCACCTTAGATGTGGTCGATCAAACGTTTTCTCGCTTTCCAGTGGCCGGTAAAATTGGGATACTTGAGTTATTTTATTTCTTTTTTTATGCTGACATTATTTTTCTTTTAATTATCATTTAAGTAGCAAATTCAACAGTAGTATAAATTTAGACCACAATTTTGAAGGATTAGTGAATTTGTTTGGTTTTTTAGGGGTCAATCAATTCTTAGTGTCACTCGAGTATAGTTTTGGACTTTTGTATTGCTTTAGTGCTTGTTACTTTTATGATTAATAAATAAGTTTTCCTTTTGCAAAAAAAAAAGAAAAAGATAAAAACATCCACATGGATGCTTTTGGAGAGACATAACACCGATTAAAGACGGTCATTAGAGGAAAACTTTTGAATTATGTTCGATGTTGATTTGAAATCAAGATCTTTCACAAGAAAAAGCATTAATTTTGAGTGTGATCCACTTGGATCACTCCCACTCTCTTGTTGGGGTTTTCATGTGTAATAAGATAGTACTTTTCAAAAATATTTTTCTATTTATCAGAAAAATGACATATATATCACCTATTTACCCCCATATTTTGGGAAGACACAAATGTATTGCATTTTTTCTAAAAAATGTGACTCACGCTTAAAGGTGTAAACGAAAATAAATTTCTACACCCTCTAACCTCAATCCAACACACGGCCAACTGAAATTTCAAACATTTTTTTTAAATTTTGTTGAAAAAGCCCCAGAAAAAGTCGTTTGACAGCGGACGTGACTTTGATAGTATGATATACTAAATTTTAGTGACATAAAAGTTGTTTGCGATATAATAAATTGACAACGACAGACATAGTTTTCAACATTTTTTACCTCATGAGTCAATTTATTATATAGAAGTAACAGACCGTGTGTTTGTTCATACAATACACAATAAAGTTGTTTATAAAGAGTGGTAGGCTCCTTGAGACACTGCAGCAGTAACCATAATATTCTACATCTTCTTCACTTAGATATTGCTAGGATACATGAAAACCCTAACAAAGTAACATTGTTTCCCATGGCTTTGGGCAGCAGGTTTGACTTGAAATTTAGCTCTTAAGACATTGTTGTTTCCATGAGGCCAACTGGCCTTTCCCCAGATACAACAGTAGTGAGATTTGTTTCTCTTTGGCGTAACCTTGTAGACATATACCAATCCATTTCCTCCTTACTGTTCACTTCTTCAATTTAAACCAGTGAGGTGCATGGATACTAGTTCAAATTTGATCTCTTGTGACCACGGATTGCCTCCATGGGCCGTGACATAGAGTTTGATTCGCTCGCCTTGACGCCCCTTAACCATTTTGACTAGTAGTGGGAAGATGCACTTGGACAACAGTACCTTCCAGTGTTTGCGAAACCCTCATGTATTGAATCACTTTTTATCTATAGAGTTCGTACCGCGTTTAGTTCTTCGAATATTATGTCTGTGACACTTTTGACACCTGACTTTGATTTTTTCCATTTGTGGTCCTTTGACTATTGCATTAAAGGAACCTTTGGTACTTATCTTTCAATTTTTCCACATTAAGTCCTTTGATTTCCATAAAATTGGCACTTTTAATCCTTCGACTATTATCATAATGACATTTTAGTCCTTCATTGTTGTGCCAAAGTCAGAGTGAAGGGATAATGATTGATTTGACAATACTCGAAGGACTAAATGTGGAAAATTCATAGCCGAGGACTAAAAGTGTCTCGCGCAATAGTCGAGGGATGACTAAAAGCTCATTTAAAATGGATCTGCGATAATGTAGCACTTTTGCAAATATTAAGTAATCAATGAACTCAGCATCAACATGGTGTCTTTTCTTTTTTTCACCTAATCCCCGTGATCTCCTCCCCTATTTCAATGTTCATGGGTTGCATCTTCTACAACCACGGCCATACTATGTTGGGCCAGGGACGGATGGTGATTGGTGAATGGTTTGCTCTCTTGTGGCTTATCAAATTGAGTCTGCTATCCATCTTCGTTGGGTTGGAGTTTCAATCTCGTCCTTCTTTCAAGGTTGTCCTTTTCGATGGTGAAGTCAGGCCTAATCGGAACATCAATCCATTTTTAGGTGTAGTTTCTATGCCATTGAAGCGGTAGACTCTCTTCTTGGTGGCTAGTGAAGTTGGACATGGTGGGTGATTCATGTTAGTTATTGCTCAAATAGATTGTATGTGGTGATAGTGTTATCTATCACTTTCCTCTACGAGTGGTCAAGAATGTCAATGTGGTTCCTATCATGCCTATAATCTTAGATGTAATAGCCTTCAAAAGCATCATACTGGCAATGCAGATTGTTTCATGGGGTGGAACATCTTCCAAGACAACTTAACATATAAAAGTAAACGTTATACAATAATAGACCCCACCCCCTATTCATTCTCACTGTAATTTTGTCAAGTTTGAACAACATATTAAACATGGAATAATAATAAAGCAAAACTTTGTGGTTAAGTTTATGCAAATGAGGTAGAAATGTTAAAAACTGCAAATTAATTCAGATGTAAAGTTATAGTGTTTGGAATAAATAAAAACCAAAAAGTGTTGGGGAGTAGTGCAATATATACCTCAGGGCCTCTGAATTTCCTTAAGAACTCCAGGAGCTGACCGTTGAGATAAACTGAAGCTGAACTCTTTTGTCTTTTTACCATGTGGTGAGCTCTAAAGACAAAGCCAAGGGGATCGGACATCTCACCGGTTAAAATGAGCTTGGGAATTGCGAACGCTAAGAAAGTGAACCTATTCCCCCATGACATTTCCGTGTTTGGTTTGATCATCTCATCTACTGACGTGTACCCTTTGGTTGCTCTTGTGTTAAACAATACTAGTGAAGTGCATTTCCCATTGTATGTTTCTTTATCTGTTTCTTGCATGTATAATCTTATTCCATATGTCACTATTCCTGTCATCACATCGTTGATTGTCTGGGGGAATTTGCATTACCCAATACATTATTAGGTTGCATTGTAATAAACTAATAATAATCATATAAATAATACCAATACTTCATATCCCAAAAATACATGCTTCGATGAAGTATTTTTGTTTGATTAAACAATTTTTGTAGGTTGCTAAAAAATGACAAACACGCTACATAAGTTTTTTTTAGGTAAACTAACTAATATTTATATGCCTCCACGAGATTTGCACTAGATTTGGTGTGTGAAAGAATGAAATAAAGTCACTAGCATGTAGGTGTAAAGGTAATGATCTATACAATTCCCTCCATGAGATTATTATAGTTAAATTTTCATTGTATACACTTTTTTTACACATGGTTGTGTATGCCACCCATGCTTACTATCTTCACTATCTTCTATATCCATCATCATCATCATCTTTACCCTTATCACCTTCTAGGTTCAGAAAAAGCGGTACCTGAATATGTGGATTTCCCAGGGCGGCCTGCTTTGTGGGAATGGCTCCATGGCTATATTTGTCAAATACTCCGTCAGGCACTCATCATAGTACTCCAATGGCTTCCCTATAGGATATGTGGGGAATTTTAGATGGTCTATAGCATTTACTACCACTGGTTTCCATTTCTTCTCGCCATTTTCCTCAGTTACCTGGTTTAGTTAAATGATAGCTTAACAAAAATACAATGCAGCAATATAAAATCTGAAGACCAAACAAAGTAAATATAATTCCGGTCTGCAGGGACTTAATTTTAGTGGTCTCAATTGGTGGGATTTGGTTTGTCTAGTTGTTTTAATTTCATTTCACTCCAAGGAAACAACGATATTGGCACAAACTTGCACGCATTGATCGAGTTTGTCACAGATCATAACATACTTTTGGTATGACACCGTACCAAATAGCTTGTAACAAAATGACATCGGCACAGATTTTGGCACGAATTTGTGTCATGTCCGTGCCAAATACCCTATAAATTTTGACTAATTCCTGCCAAAGATTCATGCCAAGACTGCCAAAATCTTTGTGTTTTGTAGTGTTTATTTAATAGGTTTTATTTTCAGTAATATTTTTCAAATGTTCGTCCTTACACTTTTAATATTTTAGAACATAAAATTGATTAGTTCATCATATCACATTGAACAAAAGTAGATGAGACCGGCCGGGATGTACTAGATAAGATCATATCCAACTTGTTAAACTAGACTAGATTACCCTGTATCATATTTGTTGATCAAAATAAATCTAAGAGCCTGTTTGGTGACCGCTGTTTTCGGTTTATCAGGCTTATCAGCCAGCTTTTTAACCAAACACGAAACTTTGATTTCGCGCATTGAATCATGTAATAAGCATAAAAAGTAAGGTTGGAGTTACTTTTCTGGCTGTATTGGCTGAAGTTACGGTAGAGGATCATTTTAGCTATTTTCATATAGTTTTTTATTGTATTTATTAATAACAAATATTTTAAATATAATTTTTTCATGAATCAGCAGAATTAGCTAATACAGCCAGAACTTCATAAATTTCAGCAGAACAGCCAATTCTGCCAATTTTAGAGTTACCAAACGGGCTCTAAGACTAATCGATTAGACTATGCCACATATCATCAAACTGAATCTAAGAAGATAGGACCATGAAAGACATACAAAAGTTGATTACAATATAGGCGATGACATACCCCCTCCCTCAAATGAGTTAGGGTGTGTTTGAGAGTTGGGTTTCGGAGGGGAAGGTTTGTGGAGCTTTATGACCCTCCTTTTCATGTTTGAGAGTATAAAATTGGAGGGGATGGTTTTGGTGACCTTCCAAAACCCTTTAAATGCTCAATTTTTGAGTTCCCACCAATTTGGAGGGTTTTGAAAGATAATTAATGAAATAATAATTAAGCTCAATTAAAAGTAAATATCAGTTCAATTATTTGAATTCGTCATATCTCAAAGTGATGTTAATTATAATTTATTCAAAAACTCCTTTTTTTCAAATTCATTACTCTCAAATACAAAGAAAGGCTTCATCACTCTCCCCTCCCTTTTCCCTCCAACAACATATTTCCAAAGCCTTCCCCTCTCCTTTCCTCCAAATTCCCAAACATACCCTTATTGTATTTGTTTTTACGACATCCCGAATAAAGTAATATTTCTTATTTGGTAAAACAAATATCAACAATTTATTCTAGAAGAATTTGACTTTACACCTCATGCTTTGAGCGATATTGAACTTTGCACCTCATTTTTAAAATGATTAATGTACGCACCCCATCAGCTCAAATATTGTAAGAGTGGGATGTAATATTAAATGATTCGAGGAAATATATATGTTTTAATGTCAAATATCATCCAAAAAATGAGGTGCAAAGTCAAATTGTACTCGCTTTAGTCTACTATAATGTATTTATAATGATTTTACACACTACACAAAAACAATCTAATTCGCATAGATTGACCGAGTTCGGTAGAGGTCAAATCGTATTTTTGGCACAATTCTGTGCAAAATAACTTGTGAGAAAATTAAATGACTTTGACATCGATTTTGTCACGGATTTGTAGAGTCTCACGGATCCCTTTCCAAGTGCATGCATAATAAACACAGTTTCATATACGTAGATCCCGATAATGATGTGTACCAACCCCATTGGACCATTATTGGTGTACACAAGATATACACAAAATCTGTACAGTGCATGTGTACACAGACAATTAGGAGGATTTCGATATCACATTCTGCCCTTTTTTAAATGAATTGCATGTGTACACAAGCAACTATAGAGGTTTTATTTATGGTGACAACTCATGTAGCTATTTAAAAAATGGGATACCGTACCTACCACTCACATGATTGTCCAAATCATTAAATCATTTTTAATTTAGATTTAAATAATTCAACTGCAAAATTCTGATTGGTCCAAGTGGACAAAGGAATTGTACATTTTGGATACCATAGAATCTACTTTTATTATATACTCCGTATTATAGTGAAAGTATGAAATAGTATTGAAACAGTCAACTTTAGAGTAATATAATATTTACCCCTAGTAAAAAGGAGATATGATTTCCGTTGGTAAAAAATCCTTAAAAGTCAAACGAACTAGGGATGAAGGAAGTACCTTAAAAGTCAAACGAACTGGGATGGAGGAAATAGGATAGTACTTCGTACTACGTTTTATTTATGTACTACGTATTTTCTTATGCACTTATGTGTTACCAAGTTCGTTGTCTTTGTTTATTGCATATTTTATTTTTAACAACACCAATAGTGGTTCGAATACAGTGACAAAGTTTCTGTTGTAAATATTGATTATTGTTATATGATACTCCGTAATAAGGAGTAATATGAAATTAAGAAATATAAAAGTAATTAATTATCTTGAGAACAATAGTGTTGGTAATAATAGTACTCCATATCAATTAAAAGCGATATAATTATTGAAAAATAAAACTATTTTTATTTATAATTAAAATAATAATCATAGTGATACAGCTATAAATATTTATGAATAGTAGAAATAATATAAATATGGCAACGTAACAAAAAAAAATAGCTGTAACAACCACAAAATGATGTTTCTCAATTCATATCAACTTTTGGAATCAAATTTTGATGTTATTTAGATAACAATAATATATATAACCATAACATGCTAGGATAATATATTATAAATATATACTCACATAATTTGTTGTAGTCTACACTAACGGAATTGTAATAATTATCTCGATCGTAGAAAGTTAAGATCACATAAAATTGTAAAGAAAAGGGGGTTAAAGAAAAGGTCAAATATTGATATGGAAAACTGTGAATATGAATGTTGAACTTCATTTTAAGAGTATAATATGGTACATTGGTAAGCAGATCGACAGATAACTGATCGAATTACCATGATTGAAGAAAACCTTCGATTGATGGGTAAGAAGACATCCTTAATTGTGGAAACCAATTCTGTTTCATCGATTTCGAAAGCAACTTTTGTTTCCAAAACAGCAATAATGGAGAGGGACAGCGCTTTGCTGTTCATGTATTGTGCACTGGGGCTTGCAGGTTCCACACCTTCTTCTCCATCTAAGTATTCCATAGCAAATAAGCTTTTGTGGTTATTCTTTTGATGTTCCTCTACTTTGCATCTATGCTATTCATTTATAGGCATATCCGCGCATATATATTATATTGACGGCCTCGAGTTGGTAGTGATGTTTAACTATATTGGACTATTGGAGTACTTTATAGACGTGTTTGAAACTAATTACGTTTCTGTTTTTTCTTTTAAAATTTTCTTTTAGAAATAGAACTAGAATCATAATCAGTTTTTCGATTCTGCCACTTTATAAAAAATTGCTTCGAAGAGCAATCCGGAGCCCTGAGTAGTCTTTTTCTATTGTCACCCAAACACTCTAAAATATATTTCTGCTCGAAAAAAGAGTTATACGTACTCCCTCCGTCCCGTTAAGATTGTCTCATTTTACCTTTTCGGGAAGTCCCACTAAGATTGTCTCATACCAAATTTGGTAAAGATTGTGTAGCTCTAAACCATTCTTACTTTATTCTTACTTTATCAATTTAATATCAACCACACAAACTCGCATTTCTTAATAATCGTGCCACATTCTTTCGTCCCAAAACGAGAGATTTTTGTGGGACGGAGGTAGTAGCAGTTTTAGGAAGTAGATCAAATCACCCCTTATGATACTACGCACGAAGATTTTATATGGATAAATTAAATAGGTTTTTTTGAATAGGGAGAATTTGACTTTGCACTGCTTTTCGGGGTTATATTTGACTTTGCACCCTATTTTCAAAATCTTTAATGTCTATATACCCCAAGTCACTATAAAATCATTTGACTTTGCATCTCACTCTTTCACAATTTTTGAGCTGATGGAATACACACATTAACGATTTTAAAAATAACGTGCAAAGCCCAAAACATGATGTGCAAAGCTAAATTCTCCCTTAAAAATATTATTGAAATAAGATTTATTTACATTAATTGAACTAAAGTTAGTTATGTAGTTTCATGATCACTTAATTGTAACAATTGAACATAAACTACTATAGCTAAAGTTACTACTACATATTATAATTTCTACACTTTCCTTACTCAACTTCAATACCTATTATATTATTTATTATGTTAATCCCTACGCTATAACTAAAGTTACTACGACATATTACAATTGATTGAACATAAACTACTATAACTAAAGTTACTACTACATATTACAATTCAACATAAACTACTATAACTAAAGTTACTACTACATACGAAGTATCATAAATTCTACACTTTCTTTATTATGTTACTATAACCAAGCATTTCAGCTCAGCTAGTTGTGAGGTTACCGTGCCTAGTGGGAGGTCCAGATCGAGTTCGGAACCCGTTAGGCACATAAGGGTTCGAAACTCAATGGAGTGAGTTTCAGCCCTGATTACTCCAAGCCCCCCAAGCCCCCCTCCCCCAGACCCCCGAAGTAAAAAATTAAAAATGTTGATCTCTACACTTAATGGCTTATCTATCCTTTCGAGTGTCGACATTTGATGGAGGTAGGGCAACCTAGCTGCTGCCCCTCCCCATCATCATCATCATCATCATCCAATTACCGATCCAATATAATTGATTGCACATGCGCAACTGCAGCGTTTTGTGCAATGAGTTGGAGAGACAGTGGGATGACGATATGGTTTGCTTCTCCATTGTCTGCTTCTCTATGGTTTATGCTTCTGGACGTGCTGATATGGATCGAATTTGGAGGTCTGTGATTGATACCTTTGAATGGAAAATTGTCTGGTCAGTTCCGCTTGACTTGATCGTTGGAGGGGGCGTTTAGGACTGTGTTGGGCGGAGGGGACAAATGGATGGGGCAACTGGATTGGGTCTTGTTTGAATGGATTTCACCTCAGGGTGGAGGAGATTAGGGGTGCTCGAGTGCGACAATTTCTGGATCGAGTCCTGAGCAAGGGAGAAGATAGATTGGCGGTCCGCCTCCTCCTGAACTGCCGCCTTGGAGCGATCGAGGTGTTAGAGTTTGGAAGATGATACTTCAAGAAAAAACTGGCAGGAAGAAGCTTGAAGTAATTTTTTTTTTTTGTTTTTTATGGTCTTACTTTCATGTTATGTGTGTTTATGTTGCTCTGGTTTTTGTTGATGTCATTAATTTTTTTATCTACAATAGTAATTGACAATTCTGCTAGATATTATATCGTTAGAATGATCTATGTGACTTGTGATTATTGTCATACATGTTTGATGATTAGCGATTTGTATTGATCTTTCAGAGGTGATTGTTTCTAAATCTAGTTGTATGGTTACGTTGTTAGTGCCAGTTGGTAACAGATAGTTAGTTGTCAGTGTTGGTCTCTTTGATTTTGTTGTAACAATCTGAATTCAAATGATATCATTATAAGCAGTTTTTTATTTCAAAAGAAAATTAATCTCTACCCATAATAATTGTATGTGCTTAAAATTAATACAAAAATACTCCACTTTAATAATAGTACTCCCGGACCCATTTTCAATATTCTCGGACTAAATACAGTCATATATTCACTACTTCGTACGGAGTACATTATATTAAGAATATATGTCATTATGACAATATAGTTTGTGGATTCACTATATATGTCTCTCGGCCCCAGTTTTCAATCTTTTTAATCAATTGTTGAACATGCACTTCATTACAAATCTCATGGGTTGTTTGCTCTCTTTTGGTTGGTTTCAGTATAATGCTTTAATTTGTGCCACCTTATTTAATACTCCCTCCGTACATTCATATCTTCCCACTTTCCTATTTTGGATGTAACATTCATATCTTCTCATTTCTAAATCTTCCCATCATACCCTCAATAATTTTAAAAATAAAACACTATTACACCTACTTTTTTTGGATTTATCCTTCATTCCCTCACATTATTTCACTATCTTCCCATCATACCCTCAATAATTTATATTTCCTTTCACTATTCTTAATCTACCTACTTTTCAAATGGGAACATATATATGTTACGGAGGGAGTAACATACGTGACGAAGCCATCAATATGTCGCCAGCCTAGGTATGTTGGTACGGAAATATACCATTTACATTATTAATATGTATATTGAAATGTAATAGTTTATCTGTACATATTGGGAAAAGGTGCAAATAGGCCCATGTACTAACCAAAAAAGGTCAAATAAGCCCTTATTTAGGAGGCTTTGTCCGGCCGTCGCCATTTGGGGTGGTTCCCGGTGAAATTTTTTGATAAAATTTTTTGAGCATCTTATTCGTCAAGTCTAGTTTACTCATACCAAATTTCGGCTAAAACTTCAATCGGGAAGGCATTCAAATGAATTCTTGAAGATAAATGCGCTTCTAACTGCGCAGTTATTTTCAAGAATTTATTTGAATGTCTTCCCGATTGAAGTTTTAGCTGCAATTTGGTATGAGTAAACTAGACTTGATGAACAAGATACTCAAAAAAATTCATCAAAAAATTCCACCGGGAACCACCCCAAACACTACAACATTTAAATCCCTAATGTATTTGTTGGATAATTGATACCCATATTGTATAAACAGGAGAAATTGAACAAGAATCAAAGAGAGTAATGGAGAAGAAGAAGAAGAAAATGTGTAGGATGAGTATTGGTTATTGAGTTGTGTGTTTACAAGCCTCCTATAAGGAGTATATATAGGGAAAATCCGGGTCTGGGCCTCTAATACGGGCCTGACAGACCCGGTTACATAAATGGACTGATAGTATAAAAAACTAATCTAGAACATTTGAATAATAATGTACAATAATATGAATCCGCTAAACGTGTGTGGGCCGCTGTCCAGGCCCAGTAGTCGGCATACCGGGGGGTCGGAGTCCATATACTCCATCAGGGGTTTTCTGAGGGAAGTATAATACCTGTATGATTGCCGAAGGCTTCCCTCAGTCCCTCACATGTCGAGGGTTTTCTGAGGAAAGCATGGATGTATTTCCTGCATGTGTTGTGATGAGGGCTGCTTCATTATCGTCAGTGGCTTTGTGGATAATTTTTGTTTTTAGGCCTCTACTGAAGGGTGCAATGATGCATGTACCCGAGGGCTACATGCACGTGTGATTACCGAGGGGTTTGTCCCAGTCCCCCACTCCTTTAAGCCGAAGGCAAGTTCGGGATGAAGGAGTTATGATGTGTTGGTGCAAACCCGAGGGGTGACAATATTGACGAGCTAGGGGCTCATGCTGCCGCAGGCTCGAAGGTGTTTGGTGGAACCCGTTGTCTGAGGGCTGCGGATAGTGATAACCGGGGGCTATCATTCGAGGGCATCCCAGTGTTGTCGAAGTATAGTGGTTGTAATATAGCCGTTGGAAAAGAGCCGTTGGAGGGGGGTTCCACGTGGCGTGATTCAGTTGGCGGGTGCCACCCATTGGTTGAACCGTCGGCGTGTAATGATGGTTTTTATTTAAACGGAGGCCCATTTATCGAGGCCCATTTCCTATAAATACCCAAGCCCCAAGCCATTTGGATTGTGCGATAGTTCTTAAGCGAAGCTCTGCCCAAATATTTCTAGAGAGAGAAACACCTGCTTTTGATCGAATCCCTTATTTCCGAGGTCAGTTCTCAACCTGTTCTTCAGCTTCTTCATATATTTTGCTTTGTGGCTTTAGATCTAGTGTTTAGAGCTTCTAGCATCCCTCTCCCGAACCCTTCGACTATCTCCTGATATTATGTCTTCCGGGAGCGACTCACAAAACCCATCCAGGGAACCCTCGGCGCATCTAGAGAGTATTTCGGAGGTAGACTCTTCGAGTGAACAGTTGTCGGTTGGGGATGATGCAGTCATAGCCGAAAGGATCCAGGGCAACCTCCGGACGGAATTAGAGGCGGAGGAATTCGAGCAAGTCGCCGAAGATGAGGAGATGGCTCTCGCCCTCCAAGTAGCCGAGGAGGAAGAGGAGAAAGAGAGGCGACGAGTGACCGTCGCTGTGCCACCCCCCCGGCACGATGATGAAGCGGGAAGCTCCCGGCCCCTCAACCCGGAACCTCTGAGGGTTGCTCCGGGTAAGAAGAAGAAGGCGAAGGGTCCCTCAAAGAAGAAGCAGGCTGCCGTGGACGCCGGGCAGCCCGTCGGAATACCAGAAGGGCATTCGTACCTCAACACCGACGCGCTTGAG